ATACCGTCTGCAATAAGAAGGATTATAGGAGATATGCATATACATATAGAATTGACTGTACCAACATTTTGAGCCCATAAAACCCTATTTATAACTGATATTAGAAATGGGCATATCATAAGCGGATTCTATTTCCCACATTATGGTAACAAAGCAAATTCACAAATATTAGATTACCCAAATTCAAGCAATAATTATGCTATTTCAGAAAGAACATGGTGGAAATATATTTTTGGGAAAAGTTTTAATGCCTGCACCAATTTAGTGAATCGCGAATGGCTACAAGCATTGGCTACCAGTTTTCTGCGTGGGTACACGGAGCAGACTTTCGTGTCATCTCCAAACCCGGAGAAAGGAATGCCCAACGACACACTAATTGAATCTGGGAAAAAACGTTCAGTATAATAAGGCCCCACATAGTGTGACTTCTTTATTAACGGCCAGGAGATTTAATTACTCTTCTACCCGACGACTTCTCAGTGAAATTATTATCAGGTTTCTTCCCTCAGTGAATGTGCGAGTAGGCATTTATTCTCGGTGATCTCAAATTTTTTAACATTAGATTAATTAACTTCATTTGATTTCTGCAACCTCACACACTACGTTCTGCAAACTCAATATATAATGACCCAATAAAATGCTCATATGGCATTGGAACATTTAATTTACGGCATAGACGAAGTGAACGTGTTTCAATGTGTTGCTGAAATACGTAGCAATCACCTTTAAATTAACACAAAATAGTTACTTCAATAAATTTAGCAATTAAGAAGGTGTTAAATGTGAAAATAAAATGATATTTCTCCAACAACAAAAAAAAACATTTTATGAACGTTCAAACGAAAAAAAGGAGAGGTCTTGATGTATCTACATCAAACGATAAAGGACAAATATTCTTCAACACTTTTTAGGGGTTCTGAATGTAGAGCAAACCTTTGATCTGCTTTCCTTACGGAGTTCGCGCAGCTATCCCCATATACTTGCAACTTGTCAAAATAGGCCAAAAAACATGAAGCGGTCAAGATTTGTGATTACTCCCCGATACGTTACAAGGCACATCCTCAATTAAGCCAATAGGAACACTTTCAGTGCCCTCGAGCGAAACGCAAAAGTTTCATTACTCGTACAACGGTGTTCTACACTTGAGCTTATTTATCATTGCACATCACCGTAGAAGTTAATCCTGAGGCTAACCAGACCAACATATAGAAAATCTAACTCTAATGAGCAGAAATTAAGCTTTATGAAAATTGGCTCTCTGAAAAACCGCTGGTAATCTAAAGACCACGCCAATAGCTATCAAAATACCGATTCACCGTTCTACTATATTCACACAACTCTGACCAAAAGGACATAGTACCGACATTTCGTACCTTTGAACAAAACATATCAATCTAGACTAGGCAAATGTGTATTAAACACAGGCAAGAGTGTGTCGTTAAACTTAATAAAATGCAGCAAATGAGAATACGGACATTTTTACCTCTCAATCTGTTAAAACCTATAAAATATGAGCAAACTCACGAAGCACAGAAACTTGAGCTTCTCTAACCAATTTTCAAGAATGAGGCCGTTGAAATTGTCAATTTCAAGAGACCATTGGGCAAGAGTGGGTAGAAGCCAATTGCAGGATGCATTGAGTGCGCTAATACAACTGTCAACATATCCATCACCTCCACTTTGGAAACGAGGACACGGGAGTGGGGCACTAGCAACGGGTGCTTGAGACCAGTCAGAACGAAGGATGGTTTCAAAGGTAGAGACGAGATTGGGCAGCTTTTCCCGATCCTCCATTAACACCACCACACCGGCTAGAGAACGTAGAGCAACTGCTCGAACCCCTTCGTCACGTTCATCCTCGAGGCTTTGCAGAAGAATGGATAACAATAGGGACGATCGCAGACGCGACTACAGAGGAAATCCCGTGAAACATGTAGGAAGGCAAATCATTAAGAAATGGAGACATTTATTTGCACTTGAATGTTAAAGGAAATTTGAACTTTAGAGGGGCTCCGGCAACACTTAAAAAGTGCTTAGTAGGCATCAAACATGTTCTTATTGAGGAATGGTTAGTAGATTAACATAGAAACCACAGCAGCAAGTACGGAAACACTTGTCAGCACGCAGACCAATAAAGATAAAATGGAAGCATTAGTAGACATTTCGGTAAGATGGTTGTTCTCTCTCAACCTTGTTCGTTTCTCAAGTCGACATTGTAACTTTCTTGGTCTTAAAGATCATTATATGCTCTTTGCATTCTATCTCTGCACACAAGACGGTTATACAAATTCATTTTTAGACCATGCTCAAGCTAGTTATAATAGGGTTATAACGTATAATGTATGGGGTGTGCGATAGACTTACCTCCTCGTGGTGCACCCTGGGCAACGTATACTCATGCGGCAAAAATTATATTAACTGGCAGTTGACTTCTCACTTCAAACTACCCCGTCAATTACCTGGCAGTTGACTTCAAACTACCATGATCCCACTATAAACCGGCAGTTAACTTCTGACTTTAAACTACCATGGCCCAACTCTAAGGCATAGTCGACCACTTCCACAGCACTCACTTTGCACCCTTTTTCTACCTTTGTGTCTGTCTCTTTTACATCTTTAAAACACTCTTCTGTTCCCCCCCCCCTCTCGACTTTTTCGACTTGATGTTCCTCTCCCTCTGTGAAGCCTGAAGTCAACTAAAGGGCTAATGATAACTATCATAACGCCTGCCATTTGATATAAATAAATAATGCTTAATGTATTTGCAGCGTATTGTGGAGAATCGGAGGTCATGAAGTGTAATTTAATTGAATGCAGGTCTAGATAAGCAGCTTTATTCCTAAATTTCAGCAATGATAAAGCACTTTACCTAATTTAGGTGCCAATTCAAATAAATCTATTGTACGCACATTTTTAATATTTAGAGATTCATAAGTAAGCTTGTGCGCTGACCAATGAACTTTCAACTGCAGACCCAGGTAATCAAATTACTAAACACACTCTCATTTAAATCGTTGTGATTGACAATACATACACGTTTGCCTATATATTTGATGTAAAATTTAAATAGCTGTTTGTATTTACATAAATGCGCACTAGGGAGCCATTACGTTATAGTCTGAGAGCTGTGCTCAGTTATTTTCAAAATAATGAGTTGAACTCAAAGAGAATTAAGCTCTATGCCATTTGGGGTCTAACTCAACTCTTAATCTTTCCATGTCTGCCAAAATTTATCTATTCTTGCTTAACTCCTGTCTTATCATGTGATAAATTCATATTCAGCCCCATTCCCCTATCCAGGTCACTAATAAGGCCAAATAGAGATGCTTAAACATTATTAGCCAGTCAAAGAGTTGTATTATTTCATAATTGTAGCCTGTTAGCTTCCGAGCAGACATCCTAATTCTAGCTCTATGAATCCAGTTAGAAACTGCAAACCTGCAAACTCATTTGTACGTGCACTTATTGAACCATTTATGAGAAACTTGATTCCAAGTATATCTGAAATTATAATTATTTATACGATTTTGGGTGTTGTCACTTACTTCACCCCCAATAACCGCGTAGCGACTGCGCTTATTAAGTCTCTACTGGCTACTCTAATAATGATACATTTTATCAACAATAAAAAACAACACAAATTTAGAAGAGTCAACGCGATCTTTGCATGATAAGCCAGCCTGCTCTAAGTGACCTAAATGGTTCTACGGCTCACACTGCTCTTTCATTACGCCGACAAATTCAAGGTAGCATAAGCACTATAAAAGCCACAATGGTCACTTAAACGGAGTACACTTAAAATACGTCTTCTGCCACTTGGCATTTTAGGTACATTCCAAAAGCTTCGATAAAAGGATGGTATTTTTAGCGTATGGGGCCATGTTGAAAGCCTACATTGCAGTTTCGCTATGCATGTCGCCAACAATGAAGAACCTTAAGGCTTATTGCAACGGCAAATGGCCCTCTGATATAACCTGTGTTGTAATCATCATTCCACACACAAAAAAACTCACTGAGATGTATTATGACAGCAGTGGCTCGAAGCAAATGGGATGAATACAAAACAAGTACAACAAAATAGGGTATCTTTATTAATTGAAACAGATTGAATAACTTTGAATGCAAAGACGGTTAAGCAATTTATTGATAAATCACTAATTCAGGATTAGTGGTAACTCGGCATGGATGAATAGGAGGTGAATAATCAGTTTTCTGCTCAAGGCACAGCAACTAGTAATTTGACACTTGGATCAATCATTCAGCATATGAACTCCCAATACCCTAATTAAATACATATTTCATTTAAGCTAATCACTCGTCATAACTACAAGTCACACCTACTTGCTTTTGGCTGAAAGAGTTTAAAAATTAGTAATAAATCAGTCAAAGGACTCTCTGCATCGCTGACATACCTACACCCACGAACTACGAAATCAATTCAATAAATGCCTCCAAACCTCAAACAGAGTGAGACTCCAGTTACTTGGAATTCATTACTTGATGATCCCCCCCCCCCCAATGTTTCTATGCCCAATTGCATCCGTTTGAGATTTGTCTCCCATTCGGATGCTTTTGCATGATTAAAACATGGATAGGTTTTTTTAGCACTGCTATGATAATAGTGAAAAACCTGGGTGATTAGCAGCATAATATACAAAACCACTTTTAGCTCCGATCAGCCATCAGTCGGTTTGCATACAACAGGCACTGCACCAAAATTTGTCCATGGTCAATACCAGATGCTCATCACCTATCAAATATGCACTTTGTACAATGCGCAAGGAAGGTAGCAAAAAAGAGACAAAATGGACTCGACTCAGGTGTG